TATTTTTATGAAATGAACTTTTTTCAATGTAATTTTTTATGCTGATTACGAATATGTGTTTCGTTTTTTGTAAAAACAACGCGTTCGGAAGAAAAGTTCATATTATGATTCGAAGGTTGCATTTTTTAGCACGTTAAAAGAGGTCGCTAAGCCAGTCGATTCTATTCGTGATCTATGTTATCAAGGGTACTGAATAATATAGTGAAGGTTTGGTCACTGAAAAAATCGCCAAACAGGGTCAAAATTGTAAAAAATCAGATTAAAATATCGATTTATTAGTAACCTTTTAAACATAATGAAGATGGCATCTAAACCAGCTGAATATTGATATAATCAATGTAATCAAGTATGCTGAATAATATAGTGAAGGTTTGGTTTCTGAAAAAATAGCCAAACAGGGTGTTGCATTGACATTTAGTAAAATTCAACGAAATCCAGTTTTATGCAATTTTCAATATGTTTGGCTATTTTTTCAAAGCTGAAACCACCACTAGATTATTTAGCATACGTAATTACACTGATTTTGCCAAAATTTAGCTGGTTTAGACGGCTTCTTCATTATTTTCAAAAGACGCTTATTGATCCTTGTTCAAATTCATTTTTTACAATTTTAACCCTGTTTGGCTATTTTTTCAGAAACCAAACCTTCACTATATTATTCAGCATACTTGATTACATTGATTATGTCAATATTTAGCTGGTTTAGACGCCATCTTCATTATGTTTCAAGGTCACTAATACTATGTGATATTTAAATTTTTTGGCCAATATCTCAAAAACTATGCATGCTATAAAAGATATTTGAAATCAGCATTAAATTTTGTGTCTGAAAAGTAACATTTTAGCAAAAATCGAGAACAGGCGATTTTGCAGGTCCTCCTTACTTTTCAATGTAATGTTGAATTCCTTGAATAGCTTAGACTCAATCCTCTTCGATTCTCCTTTTTTTGTCGCTATTTTTTTGCCTGGTAATCTGGATACGAATTTTGTATTCACCATCGATTTAAATTTTATCCTTTTTTCAGTTTGCTGCAAGAAATGAGAAATAAAAGAAAGAATTAATGAATCTTGACTGATACAATGTTGCTCATGATTGGTGTATCATTTTGTGAAATTTAAGCATCTAGTTACTAGTTAATCCTTGTTTATCAACTTTACAATGATTATAATAATGCGACCTTATTTTGACAATTAATCTTGAAATCTTTTTTCAAAGGTAAAGCTATTCTGTAGCTCATGTGTTTGCATGCGCGATCATGTTGATAATTGTCAAGTGACTTATTAGGTTGATGAGTTGTAAAATAAGGTTAACAATTGTGATTATAATCATGATCATGATGTTGAGAATGTTTTTTTCTTCTTCTTGTTCACAAATTCAAGAGAAGTGCTCATTAAATTTGATCTCAACTGGTTTAGGATTACATTTGAAACAATTCAACATTGTTACATGTTAATGACAATTTTGATCATTTTGATTGCTAAAGTTGAGTTGAAATAAATAATAACCAATAGTTAATGGATACAGTGTAAGTCGTTAAAAGTCAATTAAATAAAGCGCTGTTTGAGCTGGAAAAATCATGAATATCATCTGACCATTTCCAGTTATGTTCATTGTAAGTTATTTTCAACTCTTGGTGTTTTCAACTTTTGACTAAAGAAACACTCAGAGGGTCAATTAGTCAAAAGTTCAGTTGGACAATCAATAGCAACTACCTAAGGATCGGTATTGGTATGCACTAGAGCTTAAGAAAAAGTAATTATAATCAGTTCAAATTGTGTGTGTTGAAGATAATTACAACAAAAAAATCAAACAATCCAATAAAGATGAGAAAAGGGCTTTTCAAATGATGCTTACGATTGAATGCAAAAAAAGGGAGTTAAACGTTTTTATCATGGCATTTTGATTGAAATAAGTAGTTATCCCGAACTTATGATAGGAAATCTAAAATGAAAGAGAAAATAAATTAAATATAAATAAAATATAATAATAATAATAATCATGGAAGAAAAGAAGTTAATGCAAAAAGCAAACAGGGCAGATTGGAAAATAATATATCTGAGATTGGAATCATATTTATATAAGTTAATAAAGGTTAAAATAAGTGTAAATAATTTATATTAAAGGCTGGTAAAATAGTATTTTTCATCCATAGAATGAAATAAGTAGAAGAAAAAGAGGAAAAGAAGGAGGTTGGAAGGAAAATAACTCAATCACCGTAGTAAGAAGATGATAATGTTGATGAAGATGATGAAGAAGATGATGATGGTGGTGATGGTAATGTAGAAAATAAAAGCGAAAGTTTTTATTGAGATGTTTTCCAACGAAATTGGTTTTACGCACCAGTAACGACAAAGTTGCTCGGGTCTCTGTGAAATTACAGGTAACACCCTCACTGAAAATCTATTTTTTCAATTACATGTTTGTGAGTGTTTGTAGGTTGTGTCTTTGAGTCTTTCAGAGTCAAGATTGTTGTTTAAAAATTGAAGCAAACAAATAACATCAGCAACAGCAAATAATACAACCAAGACAACAGCATTGAGAGAGAGAGAGAGAGAGGAAGATAAAAGTGTAAAGAAAAAGTAAGGTAAAATGAAATAAAATAAATTAAAGGAAACCAAAATTGAGTCTTCTCCTTTTGATTGGTTAGAGTTGAAAGATTCTTTCTTTAACTTTTCTCTTCTTCCATCATCTCTCTTCTTCTTCTTGGTAACATCATCATCTCTTGATGCTCAACCGGTAACAATACAATTGAAAATTGAGTCTCACTGTCCAAACATAAAATGATAATAATAATATGTAGCCTCTGTTTGCTTGGTCAAACTTTTTCCTCTTATATCAACAATGTGTGTTTGCGTTGAGTTGTTCCCTCTCTAATTGTTATTAAATTATCAGGTTGAAAATTTTTGAGACCTTCCTTTGGACCGGCCACTATTTACTCCTCCAGTCTGCCATTTTATCAATTTTCCACCTCCACTGTCCAGCCTTTGCTTGCTATTTGATTTAATGTTTTACTTCTCTCTTTTTTCTCTCTCTCTCCTCGCTGATAGTTTACTCTTGTAATAGTTGATGTTGTTATTACTGAAATAGCCTCACACATCGATTCAACCATGGAGAGAAACTTTTTTGCTTCCTTTGCTGCTTCCATTGCTGTTTCCATTGAAAAATACCTTTTTTTATGGTGAAGCTGATGATGATGATGAACCTAAAAGATAAATTGAATAAGAGAGCGAGAAAAAAAAGAGATGAGTCAAAGAAAAAGCAAATTAAGATGGAAATGGAGACAAAAAAGGTAAAAGGAGAAATGATAGAGAAACATTGTGAATTAAAGGGGGAGTTGGAAGATGATGAAAGGAAGGATAAAGAGATGGCGAAATTACTATTACAAGGATAAATGGAATGGAGACAGAGAAAAAGATTATTCTCTTCATTTATTCCAAGATTTTTAGATGGTTAACCTGCATTTACCTTGGTCTATTTTGCCATTAAAATTGACCATTAAATTGATATTAAATTGTTTGCCGATTCTCAGTCAAATCCACTATACTGTACCTTATTTTTTATCCTTGCTTCCATTTAAATTACTATTGTCGTTATTTTTTGCTTTTTTTGCTATTTCTTTCGCCACTCTCCTTTGCTGTCTTATTGTTTGCCTTTTACCTTGATTGAAACAGCTTTCAATTTAAATAACAACCATTAACAGGGTTTACTTGACACAGGTAACCTCACAAGTAGAGTTACCGATTGTATCATTTTACATGATGTTACATTCCATGTTATCGACACGATTTTGTTATTAGTGGACAAGTCAATATTATCATTGATGATGTTTGTTGTTGATGATGAATGTGAAATGACGATTATACATCAAAGTCAAATATTTAATTTTCTGCAAAAAGAAAAAGAAAAGGTTGGGTTAAAAATTTTGTCTCTTGTCTTGACTCTAAATCAATGGTTAATGGCTTAATAAAATGAGTTGTAAGAGTTTTATGATACATTGCCTGATAATTTTCGACATAATAAAATATCTGACAATTAGCCAACAATCAAAACATATCAATATTTGATGATTATAATAGCATGAAAAAATGAGCAACAAAATGAGAATAAAATGTTGAACTAATGTTTGATGTTGCACGATTTTTATCAGTAATTGAAACTTGATTATGATCAGTGTAAGTCAGAATAGAGTCTCGTAATGGTATTATAATCATCATGAGCTATAAAAATAGTCACCATAAAACATGTCAATGAAAATAAACAAGATTCATGTTGGTTAATTGAATGATTGAGGAAAGGGGGATGACGAATAAATACCTTTTTTTATGAACAGCAACTATTGAATCACCATGATTATCATCATCATCATTATGGTGTTATCAAACTTGTCATCATTAAAAAGCTCAGAGAGAGAGAAAAAAGCCTCTATTCTTCAATACAAAAATATATGAAAAGCAGGCGAGAGAAGCTGCAAAGAGAAGCGAAAATGTCAAACCATCAAAGAAACAATTAAACAGTTAAACCATAGACAGCAGAAATTAAAAGGGCAAGCTGAATAGTACTCACATTGTTCCAGATTGATGCATCATGATGTCGAAGAATATCATGAAGGTTAAATAGAGATTAACTCTGAAGAAATCGAGTTGAGTTTGAGTTACATAATGGAGCTTCAATTGATCTTTTGTCATCGTTTGGAATCAATTGGTTAGCAAAATGTTCATCTATTAGATTAAAAGATGAATTATCTCAATAACCAAGAGTTAAATGTAACATAATTAGAGTGAGATGACGATTAAAATAAGCGTAGTCAACGAGTAATTTATCAAAACAATTAAAACAAAGTTGCCAATAACCGTTAAAATTAAACAGAAAAAAAAGCCAAACGCTAGAATGCAAACAGTTTCTCATAGATGGAGTTGTAGAGTCAACATCTTGCAAAGATGTTAGTAGCTTGTGAGTCGGCGCTTGGAAAAGAGAGAGAGAAAAGTTTGCTTCTTTTAACTTAGGTATTTCTTGTTTAAAGATCAGTTAGTTTTCAGGCAAAGAAGGTTTTGCCTTACCAACAAAAAAATGGACGCCATGACTAAACTTGTGCAAGTTGGAAGAAACTTTTGATATAAAATGCAATCAACAAACTATTTAATATTGTTGTTGTTACTTTTTTGGACCAACCTTGGATTAGTTGTTGTTAATTGTTACTCATCTGATTTAATCCAGGATACTCGGTCATTGGAGAGTATTGATTTATCCAACAATGGAATGTCTACCATTCCTGATGAGCTTTTTTGCCAACTTTCCAACTTAGCTACCATCAATCTTTCCAACAACCAATTCTCTGATGTAGTGTCCATTGGATTTTCAGCTAAACGTAAAAACAACGGTCAAACCTCTAGTTGGTCCCATTGTACTATCAACACAACAGTCCAATTGGATTTATCTTACAATCGTCTCAAAGTTTTAACTGATCGAGGTTTTTCAACTTTAACACACTTGAAAGTTCTTCGACTCAACAATAATCGTATTTCACGAGCAGAAGAATCTTCCCTTAACGGACTCAGTGAATTAGCCTTACTTGATCTGTCCAACAACGAGCTTGTCGCCCTTCCACCAGGTTTTTTTACACCCATTAAGGCTTCTCTTCGTGAATTGTATCTTCAAAACAACAGTATTTCGGTATTACCACCATTTCAATTTAATGGACTTCAATGGATCCATGTACTTAATATGAGCCACAATGAAATAGCCAACAATTGGATTAATACTGATACATTTGCTGAGCTAAGATCTTTAGTGACTCTTGATTTAAGTTATAATCAGTTAAATAAGATTGATTCATCAACCTTTAGGTCCCAAACTCGCCTTGAAGAGTTGTATCTCCATCACAATAAGATTGAAAGTATTGCTGACCATGCATTTTCATCTTTAAGCAACCTTCAAACCCTAGTCCTTAGTTATAACCATCTTAACAAATTGGACTCAGTAGAATGTTTTTCTGGTCTCAACAAGTTACCCAGTTTACATCTTGACCATAATCGAATAGAACAAATTCACAGTGAAATATTTCGTAATTTAACTAACTTAATGGACCTTAATTTATCTCACAATTGGCTTAAGAAAAGTGTTCCAGGAGCCATGTCTTGGACTCATTCCTTGAGAAATTTAGATTTATCTTACAATTTTATCAGTGACATTGGCAACGCATCATATCAAGGGAATGCTCAACTGTACAGTCTCGATTTGGAAGGTAATCAGATAAATAACCTTTCTCGGGGTGTATTCACCGATTTACCTTTTCTTCGGATCATCAATTTGGCCAAAAATCAAATTGAAACCATTGAGGAGGCAACCTTTGATGATGTTCCCGCTCTACATGTTCTTCGTCTTGACTCAAATAGTTTATCCAACATAAATAACCTTTTCAACAATTTAAGGGATCTACTGATGCTCAACATATCAGCAAACAAGATTGTCTGGTTTGATTATGCTCATATTCCCTATGGTCTTCAATGGTTAGATATTCATGACAATCTTATCGACAGTTTGGCCAACCACTTTGAAGTTCAATCATCTCTCCGTTTGACAACTCTTGATGCATCTCACAACAGGATAACTCACCTTTCCAAAGCATCTCTGCCAAATAGTATTGAAGTGGTCTTACTTAATAACAATTTAATCAACCGTATCGAACTATCTACCTTTTTAGGTAAACAAAATTTGACTCGTGTTGATTTGACCAACAATCGTCTCACCATCCTGCACATGAATGCTTTGCGTTTGAGTAAAGTTGCACTTCGACGTCCTTTACCCGAATTTAACATTTCCAAGAATCCATTCCAATGTGATTGTAACATGGAATGGCTACAGAAAATGGTAACAACAAATGAATCTCGGCAATATCCTAAAATAGTGGATGTTAATCAGATAATGTGTGACTTTGTTTTCAAAAAGAAAGTTTCGCCAATGCCATTAATTCAAGCCGATATGTCAAACTTCTTGTGTCCCTACAAAAGCCATTGTTTTACTCTATGCCATTGTTGTGATTTTGATGCTTGTGACTGTGAAATGATGTGTCCAGAAAATTGTGTTTGTTACTATGATCAAGGCTGGAATACCAATATTGTTGATTGTAGTGCCAATGGTCATACAGTTGTACCTCCAAGAATACCAATGGATGCAACGGAGCTTCACCTTGACGGTAATAACATTGATATGCTCTCCAGCCACACCTTCATTGGCCGTAAATACATGAAAATTCTTCATCTCAACAATAGTAACATCCTTACCATCAATAACCGCACCTTCAATGGCCTCATAGCCCTTGAGGTTTTAAATTTATCTCACAATCGGCTGAGAACCCTCCATGGATATGAATTTGAGCGCCTTGTTAATTTAACCGAGTTATACCTTGATCATAATCGAATCTCATCTATTGCCAACAATACCTTCGCTGCCTTGACTTTACTCCAAATCCTCCATCTTGATCACAATTATATCGTTGAATTTGAGATATGGAATTTCAACATGAATTCACATCTATTAACAATTAAACTAGCCGCAAACCCGTGGTCCTGTGAGTGTCACTACATTGAACCCGCTCTAGATTGGGTTCACTCAAAGATCCATCTAATATCTGATGCTCGTTATTTGGAATGTTATTACAATGAAACTTCAGGCATTCCATTACTGCCTAAATTTAACATCTCATCGTGTACCAATCTCTCAGCGCGAAAGATGTTAGCTCAACGTTTCCAAGTTGAAAACTTTGTACCTATATTTGTTATCAGTGGAGCACTTTTGGTGATAATTGTTGTCATTTTCATTGTGATTCTAATCATCAACTTCTTCTTTAAAGGTGAAAGCTCGAGAGCTCACGCAAGTCCTCAAACGATACACAAACATCTAAATCCACTTGCACACACACATTCACTGATCCACACCACCAGAGGAAGTGTATTCAATGATGATTTAAGGAATAAGAGAAACGAATGGAGAAAATGTTGAGATTTTTCTAAGTCAAGTTCACATTATAAATAATTTTTTCCCCTGCTTTGTATATAAAATGTACATAAATGTATACAGCTTTCCTTTTCTTTCCCCGTAAATTGAGTTTTGGTTACATGAAAAACCCCAATGAACTTTTGCCCGTAAACAGTTGGTTAACATTTTTGTCTAACACTTGTTAAAATGATTTTTGTATAACTATTGTGAGACTATTTTTTCAACTTTGAGGTAAAACAGTGAGTCCGTTTTTTGTACCCTTCATAAAGACAAAGTTCAACAACTACAATAATGTACAATAATAGGTTGATAGTTAACAATGTTGATTGAAAAACATTTGATCATCTGTTTACATGTAAAGGTTTACCAAAAGTTTCATGCCTTTCCAAACTCAAATTTACACGTTGAGGTGATTTTCAATTTCTTGTGACTCCAACATCAACCAAAAGCAGATCTGATACTGATGTCTTTTAAGCGTCTCAAACCAGAATTGAGATAATTGGATATTTCAAAGCGAAAAGAAAATGTTTCTCTCAAAGAGCTTTCTTTTGGTCACCATCTTCATCACCATCATCATTACGATCATCAGTAACATTTAGCATCTCAACACACAAAAAGGAATTATCTGGTTCAAAAATCTTTTTAAGAAAAAAGTCTAATCTTTTCAATGTATCCACAAAAGGTATTTCAAGATGTGCTCACACGATATTGAAAAGTGCCTCTAAATTAATTTCTCTCTGGCTGTATATAAAAAAATGTATATAACTTTATATATATATATAAAATATATGAAACCTGTTCAATTTTTATCTACTTTAAAAATCAAATCTTTTTGCCATCTTATTTCATATATTACTTTATTTTTGTGTTGCCCTTTAAACAAATATTTATCACACAGTTTAATCACAATTCACACTTTTCTCAATCTTTTTTTGGAACCACTTTTTGGACCATTTTTGTCTTGGCGAAACCTTTTTGTCCTCATTCAACCAATTGATTCATCATTTCTTGCATCCTGATTAACTGACCTGATAATCATTTCTTAAATAACAAACCAAAGGCAAACTTGTCAAAGGTCTGACCACATAATAAAAGATGAAAGAGCAAAAGACCTTTAAAGTTGTCAACTTGGAAAGAGTACAATAGGAAAAGTGCAAAATTATCTTGATCATCTTTAAAGGTGAGAAAAGGAAAGCCAATGAAAAAAAGATGGAAGACCAGAAAAAAAAGTAAAATGAAATCTGAAAAGACTTATTGAACCATAGAAGTAGATTTTTGTTGAGGAATTGCCAAGGTTAACATTATCGTGATCATCGAAAAGGCGAAATGGAGAAAAGAAGTTCAACAAGAAAAATGGAGAAAAGAAAATGAAATATTCTAACCTTTACCTTACCTACCTTGACCTAGCCTCTTTCATTCCTCCCCATCAGTTGATAATCATTTTCACCTTACAAAAGGATCTCTCTCTCCTAGGTAACCCAAAACCCTCCTTCAAAGAGTATGCAAAAATATTTTGTCTCCTAATTTCCGGGTTAAAACGATAATAACAGATTCATTGGAGAGTAAATTGCTAGAAATGGAAAGGTAAAGAAGGTGACGAAAAAAAGAAAGGACAAAGTTGAACATAAACATATCAATGTTAGTCTTGGATGAGTGTAACCCAAGCAACTAATAATTTCTTAATCTTCTAACTTCTTTTTTCCATCTTCTGAATTTTCCCGATTCATTGGCTCCTAACAAAGTTTACCTTCATTTTTTTCTCACCTTTGTAAAGTACTTTACCTTATAAAGTTTTAACAATTTCTTTCCTCTTACCTTTCCTCAGTCAATACAATATTAACAATTCCTCTTTGCATGTATAAAAATGTATGATAAAATGTATCAACATTTCTTTTGTTCAACAAAAAGTAGGTTTACCAAAGTAGAAGAATGAAGGAAGAAAAAAAAGGTTCCTTTTTTAATAGAAAAAGTTTCATTTTCTTTCTTATTACTTGTTCATCTTTTCCTCTTTTCACCATCTTCTAGACTCTATGTAAGATATAAGGTTAATTATATTGTAAACATGGTTTATTCCTGTTGGTTATACAGGGTGGTTATTCAAGTGAACACAACTTGGGATACATTTTTTTTCTTAACCTCCAAACATGGTGGAAACGCAACCCAAAAGATTTAAGGACATTTTGTACATTCTTGGCCCTTTAACCAGCTCTGCATTTTTTGGACCAATTATTGAATTAGCATTTCAATATTTTTGAAGGGAAATGAGAATCTTTTAAAGTCTTTAATTGGTCAAATCAAATTATCATTTCATTTCAAGTTCAACTTGCATTTTGACACTAAAAGCAAAAAGTGAGTGAAACTGGTAAACAAGGGAATCACTTGAAATGATTAACAGCTAATCATAACCAGTTAATTTGGTTTCCTCTCCTAAAGCCTATCACCGTTAACCACAATAAATCAATTACAAATTATCATTTACAATTAGCAATCGCCAGGTTTACCTTTTTCAAGAGCTTCTTTTTTTTGTTCACCAATAGCAACAATTAATCAAAGGCAAAATGAAAGCAGCCTTGAAACAACTAATCACCCTCACCTGGAATTTGCTCAACATTGATCAAAATTGATCAACATTGGTGTCTATTGAACAATTGACAGAAGTCACCCTTCATTCCTGGTTAATATCCAAAGTAAACTTGGTAGAGTGATCGAGAGGTGAAACACAAAGAGAGAAGAGAATTGGAAAAATTGTTTTTAATAACTTTAACCTTTAGGTTGATAGAGAAACCTTCTAGCCTTAAAGGTATGCACAGAGTGCATGATGTGTGTGTTGCCATCCTCACTTGAATGTTTGTTTTTAGGGTTAGTGTGATGAACTGGCACGAAACCTTGAAAAACCCGTTTTCTACCAACTACAGTTGAAAAAAGTAACCAAGTAACCAGCACTTTGCCTTCTCAACATCACCAAACAGCTTTTGTTGGCCAGAAAAGAAAAGCTTTTATCATCTTTCTCTCTTCTCTCATCTTTCCTCTCTTCCTAACCCGAATGCCTATTTAGTTAATTTAAAAAACTACAAGTTTAACTAGTCGATACTAATTTCATAATCAAAACCCATTTTGTTATTAACTTGACACAGCAAAGTGAGAAAAAAATGGTTGAACCAGAAAAGTACAAACCAAAAAAAGGTTTACTTTTTTATGGTAATTTTTGATTCTTTTTTTGATGAATCAAATGTCCATTTTTAGGTTCATCATTTGTTGATATTTTGTCACAATTATTGGACCTGAAAGTGAAAGAAATAATTGAACTAAATGGTTTAATAAAAAGGATGAGTTAAATTGAGTGAGGCGAGCAAAAGTGAAGCGAAAATTTACCTTTTTGCTTCTCAATCTTTTCGGGTTAACCTTCCATTGAATGATTTCTTGCCTGAAAAGTTAATAAGTTAAACTGATCGTTTCATTTATAATTAATCTCGTCATTAGTGTTAAACCATCACAATTTGCAAGTCAATTGCACAGTTGCCTGTCCAATAGTCGAATCTAATTTTGATTGTTGATCAACAGCAATAATAATAAATCAATGTATTAAAAGTGGAAAGCAAAAGGTTGAACATTAACAGACGAAAAATTAATCGCGATAAAAAACTCACACTTAAAGAATGGAAGGGAAAACGAGGAAAAATTCAAAGGTAACAACAATAAATGTTAATGATAATAAAGCGATCGTGATTTGGATAATAACAAGATCAGTTTACTAGATAAGATGGCGAAGATGGTAAAGAGAGGCAAAAACAAAGAGAAGATGTTTTATCATCTTCATCTTGAAGCGAAATGTAAAGCCGTTGAGAAACACGTAAAGAGCATAAATTGAATGTTTCATACATTTTTCAATGATACACTTTTTGCTTTTCACAATTTAAAGCACTTTAATGATAATAGTTATCATCATAAAAAACCTGTCTAAATTGTTTAAGATAACAATAATAATGCAAGGAAAAGCAGAAAAAAATGTAAAAATAATAAAAAAAAACGAAAAACAATTTTTCCTTTTTTTTCTGTTGATAAAGTATTAGGAATGAGCTTTGAAAGAAGCAACATTGTTTTCAATTTTACTGATTTGCCGTTTAATGGTTCAACATTTAAAGATGAGAAACTCATTGTAATAACTCATGATAATCATGGATATAATCCACTCAAACTGGTTGACCATTAACCCTTTGAACAAGCAAAAATGGTTAAATAACTTGTCTTGTTCAACCAATAAACAATCTCAGTTCCTGGTTTTTGATGAACAACAGAAACAACAAAAAGATCAAAAAGTCTCATCACTAGCTTTTGCAAATAATAAAATCCAATTTTTCGATATTTTGAGATTTTCCAAGTTCCATGTCGAATCGGCTTGAAATAGACCTTACAGTAAATGCTGATAAATTATTGAACTTCTTTGGCATAATTCGTGTTTCGATTCGCTTTCATTTTCTCTCAACTCGAACTCATTTTTTAGAAACACAGAAAATCCTGAAACTTTGATAATTTATAAAAGATAAAGTTGGACAAAAGAAAGTTGAAAATTTTCGTAAAGAAAAATGTTCAAATTTGGAAAAGTGAAAAACTATCGGTCAACTTATCTTTTGTCTCACGTTTCTTAACAAGATTAGTTGACCAATCTTTATGGTCGATAACAATTGTCAATGCGATACTGGAGCTGAATTTTTCTCAGGACATGATTCGAGTTAACACTTGGGTGTGAAAGTTGAAAGATTATCTTTGTAAGTAAAAGACAAACAAAGGCTTTACTAATTTTTGAGCTTCATGAGTTGACTACATAAAGACGGCAATTAAATGGATCGGTCCTTTGATCAACTAAATGTTTACCTTTGACTAGTCAAGTGTCGTCTCGTCTTTTAACATTATCATTGTGACAAGAAAAGAAAAGAAAACTTGAAAAAATTGTCAAAAACTATTCCAATGTGCATTTGAACATTTTTCAAGAGCATTCAAAAGTGCGCAACATTAAGTTACTCGAACATTTGACTTTTGATTCATTTCTTGGCGTTTCAATTAACTCTAAATATTATGACAAAATGATTCAAAAGAACATGCTTTATCTACTTGATATAAAAAAAGGTAAACTTGAAGAAAATATTTTTTCTTTACATTCTTCAAGAACTTCTGAATAAACATCTTCAAGGTACAGTTGAAGTAACTCGGAGTTTTTCATTTTTCTCCTTCTTATAATAGATGTTCAAGTGTCATTGAAACAAAATAAACAGACTTGAAAGACGAATGAACATGAACAGCGAAAAAATTGATTATTTTTTGTACTTGTTATCATTATATTGTTGTAAAGTTGTGAAAAAGCAAAAATTGAATGAAAGAAAAATATTATTCCTCTTTTCTGGCAATATTATTGAAATGATAACATAAGGAGAGTTGAGAAGTGTTTAAGAATTGAAAATTGCATTTGTTATTAAACACACTTGTTTAACAAAAGGATCTTATTCCTTGAAAAATATTGAACAATCAGAGCAACGTTAAAGGTGTTAATAATGATGATAACTTATAAGGTTTACCAGCACAAGGTGAACTCGTTTTTGTCAAGATATATTTCAATGTGTTGATTCAATTTAAAAGGTAATAATTGTGCGATTTGAAAGACAGTTAACAATGGAATAACCTTTTCTTTTCATTTTTCCCTCTTCTCCAGTTCTTTCATTAATATTTCTTTAGTGTTGATAAATGCGCTATAATAACATTGACTATGGACAATGGTCAAGGTGAGAAGAGGCTGTTTAATGATGGAGGAGGAAGAA